GGAGTTTGATTGTAGATTCACATTGGTGTAAAGGTTGTATACATTAATGAATAGAGAAAGAAGTGGTATCTTTAGGTCAGATTCACAAAGCAACCACTCCTCCGTAGAGTCTTGGTGTAATCAGCACCAAGCAACAGGACCTAAGTCCCTTTAACATCCTGTGTTTATAAACCCCAGCTTTCCCTAAAAGCCTGACCATGTCCTCATGTGTCCCCTGCCACACCTGTCTGAATGATAGCGCAGTCTCAAACAACATTGATATGCCGGCCACATAAAAGCCACAGAGACAAAAACACTTAACACTTAACTGGAAAAGGATACACAGAGCAGGAAAGCACTGATGATATTATCCACTTTTGGGGGGTAATTTGTATCAGTTGTGTCATTCTGACCACCTCTATCTTGTGCCACAGGATTTGACATATTGATCATACTGCTGCATGGGCCATCTCCATACTGCTACATCTCCATACTGTTACATTACATTACAGTCATTTAGCAGACGCTTTTATCCAAAGCGACTTACAATTCAGATTCTATCACCGTAGGCACAGCTACGGGAGCAATTTTGGGGGTTAAGTGTCTTGCTCAAGGACACATCGACATGCGACTAGCAGAGCCGGAGCCGGGGATCGAACCGCAGACCCTCTGATTGAAGGACGGCCCTGCTATCCACTTAGCCACAATCGCCCCCCTCTTTTGAAATATTTCAAAAAGAGATTTATGAGGACCCCAGAGTGATCATTACCAGGTGGCCTTGTCAGGCACCACTTCTTCTTCTTTGGCGAGGCCTTCTGGGATTCCTGAGGGATGATGGGTGTCCTCTAGGTAGTGTCCTAGTATATAGAGGGTGCCGGGAACAAGGTGTGTTGGGGGGGGGTTCTTAATGACCATCTGCTCAGAGAGCAACCTTTTAATGAAGACTGATGTTGGGGGGGATCTGACCAGGGGCTCCAGGCAGGGGTCTAATGACACACCCTCATGTCTGGACCTTAGGTTGTCTTATGTGGCCCATCAGCCTCTCCAAGTTGTGGAAGCTACGAGTCAAGTTACACTAACTTATACAATTTTTGACAAAATCTAAAAACTGTTATATGATAAAATTGAGGTGCTTTCAAGAGCATAATGCAGTACAATAGATGAGTTAATCCATATTTTCATCTTCAAGCACAAATAAGAGATGTGTCAAGCATCCTGAAAACTTTGTCTAAAAGTAGCTACAGAAGCACAGCATTGAAACCTATTTCACAGTTTGAGATCAATAGGTCAGTTATTTTGTGGCTCCAGATCTTATGTGCATAAATGTTTTAAACATCGATAAAAGCTCTACTCTGGAAGCATTATGTGAAGATGGGCCATTACTATTGCTCTAAGCTTTGTCGTTGAGCCACATCATATTAGGGTTGAGTAACTCCGGTTTAATTGAAAATTAAATTCCCTTTTACTCATGATCCGCATCTTTTGTTATCCGAGCCTCTTTTCACACATTGTGTTTAAATATTGAAGTCTTGGGAAATGTTTCTGTTGATTTGGCAGACTCAGAGTCCTGCGATTATACTCCAGTGCTTGGGCCTCATCATCTTAGATGTGATGCCATAGCCGCAGTTTTAATAATACCCAAAAAGGAAAGAAAGAGCTTACCACGCCCACACCCTTAGGCTTCATCCCGAATGTTAGCTCAAATTAAAAACAAGCCCGTGGCCTAACAGC